CGGCAGTTCCTGTGCAACGGGAACCAGCTGAGGACAGACCTGCTGGAGCCCATCATCCTGCGCCTCAAGGCCCTGCTGGCCGTGATCAGGAAGCAAAGCTCCTACAGGTTCTACTCCAGCTCCCTCCTCATCATTTACGACGGGCAGGAGCACAAGGAGGGTGTGGATCAACACCTCCCCTTCCCAAAAACTCACAGCACGAACCCCTCCAGGGTGGATGTGAGGATGATAGACTTTGCCCACACCACCTTCAAAGGCTCCAAGAGCAACCCCAACCCCACCCCGTACGATGGGCCGGACCACGGCTACATTTTTGGCTTGGAGAACCTCATCAAAATCCTTCAGAGCCTGTTGGAAGGGAAGTGAGAATTTCTGTGATTTCCTAATGACTGATAGCCCTGAAAATCCCTCCTGGGCTTGGCTGTGTGGGACCCTCTGGCCGCTGGATGTGGCACGGAACGAGCACGGATCAGTCGGGAAGTGCTGAAAATTTTCCGTGTGCCGTCACTGAACTGAAGCGTGGAAAGCAGAGAGCTGGAAGAATCTGCTCTCTCTGCCATCCATCAGAAGATTTATTCTCCTTTCTGGTTTTACTGCTGTCCTTGATTTATTTGTGAGCCAAAGAAAGCATTACTTGGGAAGAGTCTTAATGATAAACCAGGAGATGCTCGCCCCGCAGCCGAGCGGGAGGAGGGGGTTTGAGGCAGGAATGAACAGATGGAGCTTCCATTTGGAGCTTCCCTTCCTGCTCCTGCTCAGGTGGGAGGGAAAAACACCCTCCAACATTCCCAGTGCCCCTGGTCGGGATTCTCTGTGCACGTGTTCAGACCAAGAGCTGCACCTCACCAAGCTTTAACATCCCTGTGGGGTTAGGACAGGGAATTTTCCACGGATTTCCTATGAAAGAGGCTCCACTGGGGCTGGAGGCGTGGGAATGCAATGACTCTGTCAGGTATCAGCCACAAAAAACATTCACATCAAGGGATTTTTGCTTAAAAAATACAAGAAAAAAGGAAAAAAAACAGTGTGAGATTGAGTCAAGGACTGGACGTCAAAGGTCACCCAGAAATTCTTTGATGCAAATATTCTCTGTGTGTGTGTGTGTATGTGTGTGTGTGTGTGTGTGTGTGTGAAGGAGACAGTAACAAAAGACTCCAAAAATAATGTTTACAGCTTTTGTGGACAGATTTTATTATCATGTTGGAACAAAGACAATTCCTTCCTGCATGGTGTGGGAAATCTGAAGGAGAAGTCCTTGCACAAGAAATAGAGCTACAGAACTCCACTAGTGGGGAGAGGGGATAGAAATAAAATTGTGGAAGTAACTCCCACCGTTGTCCATCTCTTTTTCCCCTCCTGCAGCATCCTTGAGGTACATTTATCCTTTGTTTAAGCCCATCATCTTTTAAGAGAGCTGTTATTGCCACGGGTTTAAACACCAGATCCCAAGGGAGACGCTTCACTTGGATTTACAGCACAAAGCTGGGGAGCTGCTCCAATTTATAGTTGGAAAATTTAAGACATCTGGCCCAGTTATGTGTTTTGGTTGGCCTGGAGTCCACCTGGGAAGACTCTTGTTCAGTGTTAGGTTATTGCGTGACCACAAATTGTAAAAAAAAAGCCACAGACACTCAATCTCAATAGGGGTTGAGCCACAGATTGTCCTGGCTCACAGCAGAAGTCTGTGATAAGACTTTGTGGCTTTGTGGATGAGTTTGTACAGAGCCACCTGAGCATTCTCAGGGTGCACATCAGGACATGGGATGGATGAGGAGAGTCTGGGTGTGACACCACAGCCAGGACAGCTCGTTGGGCAGCACCTCACTCTTCACTGCTGCACAGAAAACAACTTGTTGGCTGAATAATTAGAAAAATCTCCATGTGTCCTCCCTTTTCACCCTTCATACACCTGCACAGTGTGGCTGCCCCATCCCTGGCAGTGTCCAAGGCCAGGCTGGACGGGGCTTGGAGCTACCTGGGATAGTGGAAGGTGTCCATGCCATGGCAGGGGGTGGAATGAGATGGAATTTAAGGTTCCTTCAATTCAAACCATCTGGGAAGGGTCTGGAACATCAGGAGGGGCGGAGGGAGCTGGGAAGGGTGTGGAGCATCAGGAGGGGCTGAAGGAGCCAGGAAGGGTCTGGAGCAGAAGAGGCTGAAGGAACTGGGAAGGGTCTGGAGCAGTAGAGGCTTGAGGGAACCCAGAAGGATCTGGAGCATCACGAGGGACTGAGGGAGCTGGGAAGGGTCTGGAGCCCCAAAAGGGGCTGAGGGAGCTGAGAAAGCGGCTTAGCCTGGAGAAAACGGGGATTAAAAGGGGACCTTCTGTCTGGGCACGGCAGCATGGCTGGGAATGAGAGCGTGCCCTGACAGGAGGGGACAGCCGGAGGGGGTCGTGCTCTGCTCCCCAGGGACATGACAAGGGAAAACACCCTCAAGCTGAGCCAGGGGAGTTCAGGTTGGAATTTCCTCACGGAAAGGGCGGTGAGGCTTTGGAAGGGGCTGCACGGGGCGGTGTTGGAGCCCCCATAGCTGGAGGTGCTGCTCTGGGCACCGAACGCACTTTAGGACCCGCCGCCCCCGTCAGGACTTTC